TAACCCTCTCAGCACCTACATGTCTCGTTCTTATGGCATCCCATACCTTCTTTGCAGTGTTATTTTCTCCTATCTGCAAGGTAAGGGTCTCGGGAATAGATTGAAACATTAAAGCCATGGCCATCACGTTTTTCTCTTCATCGTTTGATGGTGTTTCAATCACTTCCCAGACCTTGTGTACCCTGAGTAGAAGTTTCATTCTCATTGCCCAAACGGTGTAGTTGGTCATGTTAAGCATAGGGCACTTTATCGTCGACGAGCCTCCTCCTTCACTTATCTTGGCCACCTCCGCTTGTGCTCTTTCCGTGATCTCTCCCATGATCGCAAAGAGCTCTGATACCAAATATTTAATACGATATTTGATGATCAAACTCTTACGATTAACAAAAGAAAGTGTTTAACTCACAAACTCAATAGCCTTTATTAGTTTAAGAAAATCTCTCAAAACTTAAACTCTCTCACAAATTAGGTCATGACTCAACCTCTCTATTTATACAAGTCTCTCAAATCCTAATCTCACTAGGATTACATATATATTAGATAACTCCTAATATATTTGACTTTATCTTCTCTAAACCATAACTCGGTTTAGTTGCTTCCGGTTCAAGTAATCTTCAAGCTTAACCAACAGGAGCATGATGATAATTGCAGTGTGGAAGTGAGGAAGTGGTCGCGTTTCCACAGAGCCTCGATTGACCATCTTCTGGCTGATGTAGCCAATCGACAGGGTTTCATTGCATTTCCTAGTATTGAGGATAAGATTAGTTTTTTAGAGCATAGGACAGGAATAAACCTTGATGACTGACTTTTCATTTGTCTTTTGTTTATGAATCATTGACTTATCGACAAGTATTTATGATTATATAAAGTTATTAGTTTTGGTTTTTGGCTACTTGATTTTTTTGTTTATTTATGGCTACTTGATTTTTTTTTTTTTGTTTATGGTTATGATTATAAAGTTTTTGCACTTGTATAATGGTTTTGTAGATGCTTAAAAGGATGTTGGAGGATGATGATGGCGTCATGTTTAGCAGCTTATGCATGGCTCATATCAACAGTGTTACGATATTCTGCGAATGAACCAAAGCAGGGGTTGCAATGTTTCTTGAAGTAGTTGGTTAGGATATGTATATATGAATTTAACTGTCAGAGAGGTTGCAATGTATATACGAATTTAAATTGTATTATCTAAGTCGTTTATACTCTATTGTACTATTTTTATTTTTAAAAAATAATGAACTAAAATTGAGTGGCATTTTATGTTATTGTTTACGAAACAATGGCATACGCTAAAAACACTTCTGCAAAATTAACGAAAATCTGACATGTACGCATTTTTTTTTCGAAAATTACATCTCAAAATAATAAGTAAGGGAATCTGACATAAGCATTTTTTGGAAATTGAGGACAAAGTAGCAAAAATTGACGATTTGGAGGGTTTAGTTTTTCTGTTTTACGTGTTAACTCTCAGTTTTAAACTATAACTTATTGATGAAAGAAGGAATCATTTTTTGGGGTCAAAATAATCACAAACTTGAGAATGCTAATTTTTAAATAAGATACCAAAAATATAAATATAATGATAACATTTCTAATTGTCAAAAAGAAATAAATAATGACATTGTAAACTTGATTGTCAAAAAAATAAAAAAATGAGATTGTAAACTCGATCCTTCGCGTGCCAAATTGGGTTTCTTTTAATTTCAAGGAAAATCCCAAAAAAAATTAAATTCCCAAAGTGATACTAGCTCCCACTTGAAGAAACCTCCAAAATTTAAATGAGAACGGGTGTCATAATATGATCCTTGTTAGAAGATCTTAGTCTCTTGATGCACTTCATGTGGTGGTTGAAACGATCAAGTGAAATGATGCGGAATAGATGTGAGTGAAGTGAGATCGAGTAAGACTTGATGGTGGTGATGGAGATGAGGTCGAGTAGAGGGTCGAGTAGAAATATAACTTAGTAATCGAGTAGAGTTTGACACGGGTGTGATCAAGTGGTGATCGAGTAGAATGAGGGTGATGGTGATGAAGTGATGATGATGATGCGATCGAGTGATGGTGACGAAGTGATGATGATGATGCGATCGAGTGATGGTGACGAAGTGATGATGATGATGCGATCGAATGATGGTGACGAAGTGATGATGATGACGCGATCGAGTGATGAATCGGTGAAGCGGATTGAATGGAGTGATGAATGATGATGATGATGAGATCGAGTGGTGGTGACAAAGTGAGATCAAGTATGGTGATGAATCGGTGAAGCGGATTGAATGGAGTGATGAATGATGCAATCGAGTGGTAGGGACGAAGTGAGCTCGAGTGATGGTGAGGAGGTGAGGGGTTGAGTAGAACTTCCAAAGGCTGCGAGTTTCCTTTGAACTTCTGGGCTTGTTCGTGCTTGGATATGACATACACCAAGAGCATTCACAAGTTGAGAAAGGATATTCCACACCAATCTCGTGATCAAACAGAATCAGAAAGAGATTTTGATAAGAAAAATTTTGACAGCGTTTACAAAGGAGAAGAAGCGAATATAAAGAAGAAGAAGAGAGTTCTAGGGAGATGAAGAGTTATTCTCGGGAAAGAAACGACATTAAACACACACAAGACTGATTTCGAATATGTCATGAGCTTCTCCTTTGGTAATGGGCTGCGAGACATCATTGGGCTCGAGTATGAGTGTGTGTGCTTGCCTCATTAAAAACCTCTCTTGGAAAACCCATTGGGACAAAATCAAGAGGAGGGAAAAAGAGTGCAAGTCACACACCTCCAATGATGTCACTTAAACGGCTTGAATCACAACCAACATGGTTGGACAAGCTTCCGGTTTAAGGCTGCCTTCAATGTGTTGTAGAAGTGTGTTGATAGCTTGATTCAACAACTTAGTCTTGGATCTTGTCATTGGTCCAGTAGTAACTTGCAATGACATATCATTTTTAGGTCCAAGCTCTCCATTATGGTACTTGGTCGAGTGGTCCATTGAGTCATCAGTTTCAAGCTTCATTGAGTTCTCAGCTGCGTGGTCGAGTGACTGGTCGAGTGCATGATCGAGTGACTGGTCGAGTGACTGGTCGAGTGACTGATCCAGTGAGTCTTCTGGCTGAAGTTCCTTAGCTCCATGATCCAAGCTTCCCATGATCATATCATGTCATCTTGGGAGTTTTTAATGGGATTTTCCTTATAATTTTAATTAATTCGTCATGTTCGGTTTTGTATCTTGGTTGGTCCATGTGGTAAACTATTGAGCATGTATTTTGTGTTTCTTACATGATGTTACATCTAATAGGAAAAGGGAAAAATGTCATTTAAATCGTCACTTTGCCATTTGTGGAGGTTTAAAGCATGAATTTTGAGCCTGGTGCTTTTAATCCTCAATTTCTAGTTGACTTTCAATTTAATCTCTAACTTTCGTTGACGAAGCTGATTGAGGCACGTCTTTAACTGGACAAACGGAGGATTAAGACGTTGTTATTTGTCCGTCTAATATATCCGTTAATAAGCGAAACGACGTCGTTTAATCAAATGAAAACTCCCAAATTCGATTAAGCTCGAACCCTAAAATACCAAATGGAAATTAGAAATACAAAATCAAAGATTCTCTCTCGTTTTCTTCTCTAATCAAGACTTCAAGATAGCTGTGTTGAGTTTTCGATGTAAAGATCCTTACACCTAACCCACACACACACTTTGAAGGCACTCCACGGGCAGCGAGTACTATCGATGTCTCGGAGCTAGAACTCATCGGAATCGAGACAACAGATCTTGAGGAATAAAGATGAGATCGAGATTTGAGAAGAAATCGAGCCATTTCACAGTATAAGATAGAACAGAAACAATATATATACCCAAAGCATCCAAGCAAAAGAGAACAAAATAAAATATCGACCAAGCTTGGTTTGCAGAGGATTCGATTTGTGGCGGACATTGCAAATGTGATATTCGTAGACCAAACATCCTCTTATAGTAAGTAGATTGAGAATGAAATATAATTGAAGACAATTGAACTATATTGGTGATTTGTCTTTACTCTTTAGTATGCATTTTGAGACATAATATGTTTCAAAAGCTAAAATGCATCATAATCTAAAGTCTCAAAATGCATATTAAGAAATAAACACAAATCATTAAATATAGCTCAGAAATTCAGCAATTATTTCGTCACCGATCTACTAGCTACAAGAAGATGTATTGTCTACTTATTTCTTAACTATATTGATATAAATACCATCAATACAAGTTCTAAAGTGTTTGTTGACTTCACAATAGGAAACAACAATAATATAGATCGAACGTTTCTTATGTAATTTCGAAAACTAAGAATTTTTTTTAACGGTTAAAGATTGTTTGAAACTAGTAACTGAAATGTTACTTTTTTTTTTCTTTTTTTTTTTCTGTTAATTAACTGAAATGTTACTTTGCATGAAAGATTGTTTAAGGTTAAATATCTCTTACGTTACCTAATTCCTGCGGCGTTTTACTTCTCTTTAGATAGAAGTCACATGGAATTTCATTTCGTTTAAAGTTAAAACTCACTGTTATGCCCAAAAACAAAAAAGTTTAGTGTGTATATTTTTTCCAAACGAATCAATAAGCTTCAACGTCAAAGTTGAGAAATAAATAAAAAAATTCACAAAACATTTGGTAGTGAAGAATGAAGATTATAGCCCAAAGCTGATCATTGTTACAGTCTGTGATTTCTCAGATGATATCGCCACAATCCTGAGCTCTCTTTTAAAAAAAAAAAAAAAAAAAAAGAGAGTTCTCAATATCATACAATTCGTCGAATCGAGTCGTCGAATCGGGTCACGTCTAGCTAATAATAGACGATCTTGCGATAACCTCTCCGAACTGTTTTAGACACTCTGTTTGAAAAAGACCTTGTGATTTCGGTATTGGATCTCGGGACGTTCAACTACTCGGGCTCAGGTTTTGTCACCTAATCGCTATTCGACGACATATTCACAACTTTTTCACAATATCACATGATCTCAAAAAATTTCACAATATCTCCAATAAAATAAAAATATAGATGCAGTATAACATCTCATAGATGAGTGAACCCAAACTGACATAATATAACATAATTTTTATCTCGCCATAATGGTTTTTATCTCGCCATAATGGTTAAGACTTGAGAGCAATAAAGGTTCTTCCAAAAATAAAATTTTTATCCAGCAGAATCGATTGATCATACAGAGACTCCTCCAATCAATTAATATATGATGGAATGGCGAAAAATTGCTTCTGCAAGCTTATCGTTCTGCAACTCAAGAGTACACCAACCTTCAATGAATGCATCAAAAAAACGAATGTAAATGAATCCTCAAATCTGCGGTTCAGCAAGCGCAACCACCGCCTTTTGGCTCGTTCTCAGTCACTCCATCGGGTATGCCTTGGAAGTATCTGCAATAAACCCAAAAACATTGTGTATGAAGGACAGATTTTATAAAGCACTCAGCTTACTTTTTATGCATTCTTAGTTCTCAATTTGGATCACACAGTCACAGACTCTGGAATTCAGAAGACCAATCACAAATGTCAGATATGCATGTTACGAATGTCTCTGTTTTTATCAATAATCACCAAGCTTTGGACGCAGTAAGAAATTCCAGGGTTTCTACACTATCTGCCTTCTACAATTAAAAGTCATTCTACGCTATTCAGACTTTCCGGTTTAACAATTAGATAATTCCAACAAATGTAGAACCTGGTAACCATAATCTCTATGTTCTATATTTCTGTAGTATCATAGTTCAGTCAAGATATCATGGTTTCCAAGCTCTCATATATTAGAGCTAAATCAAAGATTAAACTTACATATCCTGTTCATGTTCGTTCGCAAGGGCAGTTTTGGCAATGGTTAAGAATGCCTCATCAACATTGAAGTCTTCTTTTGCTGAGGTCTCGAAATAGGGAATATTACCATTTGAAGCACACCAGTCAGCTGCTTTCTTCTCAGAGACCTGTATTTAAAGATGATGAAACTAGACTGAGTAAAAGACTCAAAGACTTCAAGCACGATGGAAGACAACATATCTTGATCTTCCTCTTACCACTCTACTGCTCCCTCCATCTACGTCAACCTTGTTTCCAAGCACTATAAACGGAAATGTCTTTGGATCCGATGGACTTGCCTGGACAGCCCAAAACGATGCCATGGATACAGGCAACCAATACAAGTTAATTATAAATTGTTAAAAGGGATTGAAAATGTGAATGCAGGAAAAAAAAACTGAATAAGGAACACAAAATCAAGTTAGTAATATACTTGGCTTAACTAGTAAACCGAGGACTAGGTAAAGAACGGCAAATGATTATTCAAAAATAAAAACATGTTCTAGTGATCAATCAAACAAGACTTCATATATGGTCCCAGGAACTCTTCCAACCACATCTTCAAAATAAGAGTTTTGACTCTAACAATTCCTATTAAAACAAAAGCACCAGATTCCTATGTTCCATGTCTATAACATAACACACAAAGCCCACGATATAACAATGAAGGAAACCGTCATACGAACCTGTTTAAGAAACTCCTCGTGCCAAGTTTCAAGATTGTCAAAAGACCTCAACACATTAACATCATAAACCAAAGCACAACAATCAGCTCCTCTATAAAAAGCAGCACCAAGACTCTGAAATCTTTCTTGTCCAGCAGTATCCCAAATCTAACAAACCACAAAAAAAAAAAAAAGTAAAATACTGAAAAAATCTTGAAAAAAAAAAAAAAAAAAAAAAATCCAAACCTGTAGAGTAACAAGCTTTTCTCCAATCTGAAGCTCCTTGGTTACAAAATCAGCACCAATCGTTGCTTTATACTGCATACTAAACTTCTTATGCACATATCTAAAATTCAACCATTAAGGATTTCACATAATCACAGAATCAAAACACAATTCTCTCAAATTAACCCCAAATCGAAGGATACTGATTCATCAAGGAGGTTTTACCAACCCTAGAAAATCGAAAATCAACAAATCAAAATCAGAAAAATCGAAGAATAAGCGTAAAAGATTGAAAGAATAAGAGATCGGAATAGATTGATTACCCACTGTCACCGAGGACAATGACCTTGAGCAAAGTACGTCTTCTCGTCGCCATTGATATCGGAAGAATGAAAGAGAGTTAAAGAATGTGTAGATCTCGGAGAAGGAATTGTGAGCAGTGGAGAGGATTTTGTAGGGATCTCCGATTTGTACTTCTTATTGATTTGAAAAGAATCCGAAGATGGAAAAAAGGGATATTAGTAAAGGAGCGCCAATTAGAGAGATCTCTTCTCGTTTTTCTTTTCAGAGATGAATCTGATTTTACTATATTTTCTTATACCAAAAAAAAAAAAATATATATATATATATATATATAAAACACATTTTTTCTTTTAATTTTACTTTTACTTTGGCCTCTTGTTCGAAAAATCGTTAGGAGTTAGCCTGACGCTTGGTATGGACTTAGCGATAAATCAAAATCAAATTAAAAAATTAATCAGGGATTAGTTTTAGGGTTATTTTAATGTTTTAAAACATATTAATTTAATACTGTTTTCAAAATTGTAGTAAACACATAAAAATATATTTTTAAGAAACTTTTATGATTTTAATCAAAATTTTGAACATAAGTTATTGTAAAACATCAACACCCATCAATATAAATGTCTGAATAACAAAAATAAAAGTTGTTTTATACGTGCAATCTAAAAATAATCAGGGTATGCAAGATTAGTTGGGGAGTAATCAAAGTAGGCGGGAAAAATCGGACTAGACGGAGAGTAATCGGATAACTGATTTATTCAATGGATTAATCATTAATCGAGGCGAATGGGTGGGACTAGCGATTAAGCGGTAAGTAATCGGAGCTAGGTAGAAATTTTTTAAACAAGGCGTTGGCCTAATCAACAATCATCACTATAATGAAAGAAATATACATCTAAAGATTAGTGTTTGTTGTGATGTTTATTAGTTTGATCATCAATATAGTTTTTTTGTTGTTCAATCTTCTCTTTTAGCTCTTAGGACCTCTTGACTCCTCCAATGTTGTTTGTTAGCTTTGGTCATCCTTTGAATCAAATTTTCGTTCTTTTTGTTTTTAGATGTTATGGTTTTTAATAGTTATCTTTGGAAGTCTTCTTTTACTCACATGCAATGTCTCTGGAAAAGTTGCGACTCCTGCAGGCTAAGTGTATTCAATCGAATTCTATCAATGAAAGTCAAATTCTAGTGAAAAAAATATATATAGTGTTGTGTTCATCAATTTTAAAGCGAGATTTGTAGACAATGAAAGACTTAAAACGTTAGAAACAGCTAAATTATATCAAATTAAGATTGCAAGATTCTTTGGTAAATAATACATTACGGGGAAATCAAGTCATAATAAAAATAAGATGTGGATCGAAAAACACAGAGTTCTTAAGAAATACAAATAGCAAAACATCATACTTTTACAAGTACAGAGAAAAATAGAAATAGAAATCACACGAAGAAACCTCTTATGAAGTTCTAAAATTTTATTAAGACTATCTTCTTTGGCTTCACGTGCTTTATTGCATTGTTGGGCTTCAAGATTCTTTATCCACTCCGTTGATAGAATCTAGCACGTTAAAAAGGCAATCACTAGAACAAACGTATGTATCCGAGGTTCCAAGCATCTTCAACATGATAGGGTACAAGCAACGCAACTTACACCATTTGCAAAATGGACGGTATACACTATTATTGAGCACCACCTCAAATGATCTGCTTAAAACCTCTACTGTGCTTGTTGGCATTAGCCCTGTAAAGTCTCCGAGCACACAACTTGGATGCAAACTATCCTCCTGATCTTTACATGTGTAGTACCATCTCTCTATATTGCATTCATTTTCACAAATGTCACACCAGTGTTTACCACAAGCCTTTTTGCCATAGCATAGCGAGAAAGGATGATCGTCATCAATGTTGTGCTTTACCACAAGTGGTAAAGTGGCGCATTTGAAATCCAAGACAAATTCACAGCCACTTTCAATGCACGTGAGCACAGGAGATGCCAACTCGTTGCAACCGTTGCATTCTCTGCTTCCATCTTGTGGAATGTAATATAAGGGATGATGGGGATGACTTGGATGGTATAATTGCTCGGGAATTGTTCCGCATAGGACATCTAGTACCTTATCCTTATGCTGGTACCTGAAACCATTGGACATTCTATGACAAGCATAACACTCAAAAATATTGTCCTCGCTTGTAACTAAAGTCAGTTGTTCATTGTCCAGCATGTGCCATATCTTTGTAGGAACATCGGCACACGATTGGTGGAGAATGAAATCACAATCAACACATCCATAGAAGGATTGGAGACAAATGGGATGGGTGCAAGCATTGCACCGCTTCGTTTCTTCACAAAGATGACCATTAACATGGAGTCTTAGGTAATGCTCTTTGTGGCTGAAATGTTGTATTGTGTCATCTATTACCACATATGGCTCGATATCTTCAATTTCTTCACGTATTCCTTCAAGTTCTTTCCCGTCCCACACATCTATTCTAGTAGCACATTTAGAATGAACGAAATAGCTCGGACACATTTGACAAGAATAACCCCCACAAGTCCAATCCATCTTTCGGCGGCAAACTCCACATACAGAATTCACAACACCAATAACAGAAGTGCGAGTAAGTCTGTGATAATGGCGATTAATGCTTATGATGCGTGGAAGGCCAAGACAGTCTTGGTGGATCATGAAATCACATTGAACACATATGTAAGGGCTGCGATCTCCACTCAACCCGCAAGCATTACATGTAAACGAAATGAGTCTTGGGAGAAGAGCGAGTTGGTGATCATGAGCTTTCAAATCCAGAAATGATTGCGGTGGTGGGTTTAAAACACAATGCATATCCAAGGTGAAGTTACATGGAGAACAATGATAAAATAACTCATCAATCTCTCTTCTGCAAAGACGACATTTTCCATCACAATAGTCCGGTGGTTGACCCGTCAGGAACTTAAGAGGGTGCGAGGAATGGAAAGAGTGGTTTAACTCTGACAGGCGTTTTACCTCCGACGGATTCCATACGCAATCAACATGGAAGGATATACCACATTCATGACATCTGTACGGAAACCCATTACCAATCTTCCCACATTTAGCATCACAAACAAACTCGATTTGTTCCTTGAAAAGGGTGACCTTGTGGTGATGCGTCTCGGAAACTTCAATGACCTCTGGTGGTGGGTACTTGGCACAATGTAGATCCACATCAAAGTCACAGATCTTGCAGCGATACCATAGGTTCACGTTTATACTCTTTCCACATAACTCGCAATAACTACCTCGTTTTATCCTCCCTCCACGTACAAGCTTGAGAGTGTGAATGGAGTGACATGGGTGTTCGATAAATTCGGAGCACTCGTCGCCACATTTCTTGTGGACGAATAAATCACAGCTTTTGCAATAGTAACCATCACTGATAGCTTCCAAACGTCCACAACAATCGCCTTTCCTCATATCATTCCAAGGCATGATCGTGGATCAACGGTAGTGATACTCCCTCAGAATCCATTGTCGTATTACTACCAGATTGGTGAACAAGAAGAAGAAGAAGAAAAGTTGGATCTGGAATTTCAAGTCTCTCTCTCTTTCTCAAAAGTCTTCGACTCTTCGTTAATCTCAAAAGATGCTCTTGATAAAATTTAACATATCAGACTTTTGGTAGTCTTTCTTTAACAATAAAAATATACTTCACAGTGGTGCCGGCCCGATCAACCGGTCCGATCAATTTGGATGTCCTAAACAAAATTAAAGCTTATAAATTTTTTTTTTTTTTAATTAGATTTTTACTTTTAAAAAAATATTGTAGTTGTCTCTAAAAACCCACAATATTTTTAAAAGGCCCTACAAAAATTATTGTATATAAGAAAACTTAACAAATTTTTAGGTGAAAAGGCCTTCAAAATTTTGAGACCCTAATCAGTGGCTTCACTGGCTTGCCAAAGGGAAAAGAGAATAAAGAGAAAAGTTGTGTTCTATTGACATTGAGAAAAGGTATATATACATCCTACACATGAAACCCTAAACATACTTAGGAAAATTAACATATTAGCCTAAGTATAATATATTTACATTATAGGTCCCTAATACTCCCCCTCAAGTTGGAGCATGAAGATTATACATGCCCAACTTGCGCCGTAAATAAGCAAATTGCTGAGAACCCAAAGCCTTAGTAAAGATATCCGCTGGTTGCTCCGTAGTGGTAAGATGCGCAGTAACCAGTGAACCATCCTGAATTTCATCCCGAATGAAGTGACAATCCCTCTCAATATGCTTCGTCCGCTCATGAAAAACTGGATTGGCAGCAATATGTAAGGCTGCCTTATTGTCATAAAACAAACGCATCGCTCGCGGATGAGACACTCCAAAGCATCCTAAAAGCTCACGATTCCATTTCAACTCTCGAGTAGTAAAACTCATTGCACGATATTCAGCCTCTGCAGAAGAAAATGACACCACATCTTGTTTCTTTGTCTTCCAAGCTATCGGAGAATCTCCCAACATAACAATAAATCCTGTAACCGATCTCCGAGACATGGAACATGTAGAAAAATCTGAATCACAATAAGCTGTCAATTGTAAGTCAGGATCAGAACTCAACACAATACCTTGACCCGGACAGCCTTTAAGATATCTGACAACTCGTATAACTGCAGCCCAATGCTTGGCACGTGGTTGTTGCATAAATTGAGCTAACATATGCACAACATAGGACAAATCTGGTCGGGTAAAAGTAAGATATACCAAACGCCCAACAAGCCTCCTATACCTCTCGACATCCTCATAGAACTCTCCTTCATCATCCGGCAACTTATGGTTTTGCTCAAGCGGAGTAGACACTGGTTGACATCCCAACAACCCACATTCACTTACAATATCCAAAGCATACTTCCTTTGCGACAAGTAAAAACCATCATGAGACCGAGATACTTCAATGCCCAAAAAATATTTCATAGCCCCCAAGTCCTTCATATGAAAACATTCACTAAGGTATCCCTTAAACTCTTGAACACCATTAAGATCATTTCCCCCAATCAACAAATCATCAACATAGACCAACACAAAGAGTTGCATAGATCCACGCTCCAAGGTAAAAAGAGAGTAATCGGCTACCTGCTGAGCAAACCCATACCCTTTTAGTGCTGCTGCAAGCTTAGCAAACCAACAACGTGGTGCTTGACGTAGACCATATAAAGATTTCTTAAGGCGACAAACTTTTGATTTATCTTGAGAAACAAAGCCAGGAGGTAATCTCATATAAACTTCTTCCTCAAGATCCCCATGTAGAAACGCATTATGAACATCCATCTGATGTACTTCCCATCCTTTGACAGCCGCAATCTTAAGAAACTCGCGAATAGTTGTCATTTTCACAACAGGAGCAAATGTCTCATCAAAATCTAACCCTTCGACCTGTCGATTTCCCATGGCCACCAAACGAGCCTTGTAACGCTCAATTTCCCCATTCGACTTATACTTGATAGTAAAGATCCAATGACTGTCAATAGCTTTCTTTCCTGGCGGAAGATCGGTAATATCCCAAGTGTCATTTGCTTCTAAAGCATTCACCTCTCCAGACATCGCATTGCACCATTTCTCATCCTTAACGGCTTGTGAATATGACTTAGGAACCGAGATAGCAGTAATGGCCGCAAGAAAAGCTCTCTGTGAATCAGAAAATCGGTCACAACTCACATAATTAGCAATGGGATAGAGGACCGTACCTGGAGCAGAGGATGCTGATTGAGTGGGTGCCGGTGAGAGTGTGGGATGTTCAACTGAGCAACGTGTAGTATGTAGTACATAATCACTTAGATGAGCCGGAGGTTTTCTTTCCCGTTCGCTTCGTCTAACTTTAATCCCTTCACTAGTCAGATTATCATTTCCTAATTGACTCCCCCTTTCCTCCAAAGCAGTATCTGAAGTCTTTTTATTATCTTTGGACCCCGTAATATGAACATCGGACGAGCTGGATGCTGGATCGATCGATCCTGGTGCTGGATCGATCGATCCGTTAGTGGCTGATGTCTCAGTAATTTCCTCTGGATCGATCGATCTAGGCGTGGGATCGATCGATCGCTCCGTCTCGGGTCCAAGCTCGTCACATGTCAGTAGCTTGGGATCGATCGATCTACGTGCCGGATCGATCGATCCCGTTTGGTCCATCAACTCATCAAACGTCAGTAACTCGGGATCGATCGATCCACGTGCTGGATCGATCGATCTAGTCATCTCTGGTCGAAACTGATCATCTTCAAACTGTGCGGGATCGATCGATCCCGGCTGTGGATTGATCGATCGCTGTTCCGACAACTGATATGGGAATTCTTCTTCTTGAAACACCACATCCCGAGAAACAAAGAATTCCAACTTCTCCAAATCATACACACGCCATCCCTTCTGACCAAATGGATACCCCATAAAAACACACCGTCTACTTCGTTCCCCAAACTTATCTTTATCCCGCAAAACATTACGAGCAAAGCATAAGCTACCAAAGACTCGTAAGTGAGTGATATTAGGTACTTCCCCAAACAACAGCTGATAGGGTGTCTTTCCTTGCAAAACAGTGGATGGAGTTCGATTAATCAAATGACATGCAGTCATAACACACTCACCCCAAAACTGACGTGGTAAGGTAGCTTGAAACATCAACGATCTAGCAACATTCAATATATGTCTATGCTTTCTCTCCACTCTACCATTTTGTTGAGGAGTACAGACACACGACGTTTGATGCAGGATTCCCTCTTCTAGGAAGTACGATCGCAAACCCATAAATTCCCCGCCATTATCACTACGTACTACTTTCACCTTCTTCTCAAACTGTCGTTCCACCATTTTGAAAAAATTCTTAAGAGTTACACCGACTTCACTCTTTTCCCGTAACAGGTGCACCCAAACCGCTCTCGAATAATCATCTACTATTGTCAGAAAATACGCAGCACCCGAAGTAGATACTATGCGATACGGACCCCAGAGATCACAATGAATCAAATCAAAAATTCCAGCAGCTTTATTAGAACTTTCATGAAAACAATCCCGGGTTTGTTTAGCCCGTAAACAAATATCACAAACTGTTGTGGAACTAACTTGCTTTCCAATATCTAAATAACTCGACAAATAGGGAATAACATGACTAGACGGATGACCAAGACGACGATGCCATAAATCCCATGATCCTGAACTGCTCACAGTCTTGTGTATCTTCGCACCAATCACCCCTCGAAGCACGTACACGTCCCCACACTCTTCACCAACCCCAATCAGCGTCTTCATAGCCTGGTCCTGTATAACACACAACTCATCAGTGAATGTAATAGAACCCTTAACCACTTTCAACAACTTTGCAACCGAAATTAAGGAGCATGTTAAATCCTTAGAGTACAAAACTCCTTGTAGCCACAAATCACCCCCGAGACATATATCACCATGTTGGGTGGACACCACATGATCACCATCCGGTAGACCGATCATACATGGATTGGTATTCATCACATTAGACAAATAGTCTAAATTACCAGTCATGTGGTGTGATGCTCCTGTATCAATAATAAAATCAACACATTCTTTCTTACCATTCAGTTTCTCATTAGGATTTGACTTTTGAGAAGCAAAGAGACCCTTGAGAGCATTCCATTGATCATCACTCATTTGTGGTAGAGATTGACGATCCAAATCAGCCGGTGTTCTTGTTGAATTAACTTGTATTCCCCCCAACAATATTTGCCTGAACACCCGTGACCGCGTTAGCCCTACCACCGGACCCGCGACCACGTCCAAACCGGCCACCACGTCCTCCACGTCCACGTCCACCTCTACCGCGATCATTGTAGTCACGACCTCGTTCTCCCCACCATTCAGGAAGGCCAATTATCTGAAAGCAATCAGCCTTTGCATGCCCATACTTACCACAATGAGTACATGTCACGTCCTTCTCGCGATAAAAATTGGAAGTTTGACCCCGTTGTGCAGCCTGGACCGCAAACCCCACAGCCTCCGGAGTGGCATCACGATTCCTAGTAATCATGAGTTGTCTCTCTTCTCGAATGATCCTTTGATAGACTTGTGAGAGCTTGGGTAGTGGTTCCATACTTGTGATAGTAGAACGCACCGTACCAAACTTCGCAGAATCTAAACCATTCAAGAAGGTATTGGTTCTCTCTTCATTACGGTCTTCTTCCAACTGAGCAGCCAGTTCTCCACAACTACATGATCGAATAGGCTTGTAAATTGCCAATTCATCCCACATCTTCTTAAGTCTCCCATAGTACACCATTACCGTATCTCCGTTTTGCCTACAGTTTGCTATATCAGCCCGAAGCTCACTGATTCTTGGCCCGTTTCCCGCAGAGAATTGAAGCTTCAAATCTTCCCACAACGCTTGAGCTTCATCCACCATAGAAATCGATGTCCTGAGAGTCGGCTCAATCGTGTTCATAATCCAAGCGATTAACATAGAATTAACCACTTCCCACTGTTCAATCTCATCATCCTTGGTAGGTTTCTCCAAGGTCCCATCAATAAACCCCAATTTCCGTTTCGTTCGCAAGGCGTTCCGCACATGCTTAGCCCAATCTTCATAGTTTTCTCCCTTCAATTGAACAGTAGTGATCACATTACCCGGTCCATCCGAAGGATGGAGATACAGTGGCGAAGCCC